CCGGGATCGAATCCCACGTCGGGCTCCCGGTGCATGGAGCCTGCTTCTCCCTCTGCCTCTGTCTCTGCCACTCTCACTCTCTCTGTGACTATCATAAATAAATAAATAAATAAATTTAAATAAAATATATATATAACAACTAAATAATACAAATGTGTATAAGTAACAAGTGATAATTTGAAAATAAACAAACATGATTTGTATGTAAAACCTAATGTAATGAAGGTTAATTGTATTTGCCAAAAGATGAATTAAAGACCTGGTGGTGGGTGGAGGAGGAGGAAGGAGGGGAATCTAATGGACTTTCAGCCAGACATTCTGGGTCAGAGTGAGACACACTTGATAATTTTCTCTTTCTTGAGACTACAACCAGAAGCAGCTTCTTTTGTGGGCATGATCAATTTACCAAAATATATGACTGATTCAGAATTTTTCTTTATCTTCTCATAATTTGCAAAAACTTTATATACAATATGATGAACTCTCCTTTTAAAACATTCAAAGTATCTTATTTTTTCTCCCTCTTCATTCTGTTTATCACACCCACCTTTTTTGAATAGCTAGGTTTCTCATTCTTCTCTTCTTTCTGTACCATTTCCTTTCCACCAATATTTGAGCTTTTGGAGGCTCATACTATTTTGTAACTTGCAATGCTCTTAAAAATAAAATCATAATAAAAAAAACCCTTTAGGACAAAATGAAGGCTAACCAGAAAATCACTTCAAACACACTGAAGAATTCCTCTCACTTAATGCATGTGAAAAACAGACACAGTACAAGTTAAACATAGCACACAGGATCTGTTCCACATAATACCCTTTACCTAGAAATTGTGTGAAGTGAATTGGCGAGTGGGTCTTTGTCTAAAATGATAATATCAAAATACGGCTGCTTATAGAATATTCGTTTAATGTTTTTGAGTGAAAATATGCTATACTGGAAAAATGACTTGTCAGAAAAGTGACATTATGGCTATCGTGGTGGAAAGTTGTATACTGAATTGACACTACGGGTCAAGAATGATAAATACAAAAAATTTAGCCTGATGTGTTAAAATTCCATCCTGAAATCATTAAGCATTTAGACAAGTCTTATCAAATGTTCCAGCCAAGTCTTAGCTGCCATCGTTGGGAATGGAAGGAAGTGTGCATGCCCACACTTGAAATGGAGCAAGAGGAGAGAAGAGGGGGTGGCTATGTAGAACACAAGGGAACAAAAAAAGAAAGGAATTGAAGGGAACTAGCCATCCTTAAAGCCTCTAAAGAGAAGATGAACAAGTCAGATATAAAAGACTAAGAGTCAGATGGAATCAAACTTTTCAAAGGCCACATGGAAAGCTGGAAGACAGTGGTGAAAAGCCTTTAAAATCTGTATCTTTGGGATTTACCCCAAAGATACAGATGCAATGAAATGCCGGGACACCTGCATCCCGATGTTTATAGCAGCAATGTCCACAATAGCCAAACTGTGGAAGGAGCCTCGGTGTCCATCGAAAGATGAATGGATAAAGAAGATGTGGTTTATGTATACAATGGAATATTCCTCAGCCATTAGAAACAACAAATACCCACCATTTGCTTCGATGTGGATGGAACTGGAGGGTATTATGCTGAGTGAAATAAGTCAATCAGAGAAGGACAAACATTATATGGTCTCATTCATTTGGGGAATATAAATAATAGTGAAAGGGAATAGAGGGGAAGGGAGAAGAAATGGGAAGGAAATATCAGAAAGGGAGACAGAACATGAAGACTCCTAACTCTGGGAAACGAACTAGGGGTGGTGGAAGGGGAGGAGGGCGGAGGCTGGGGGTGAATGGGTGATGGGCACTGAGGGGGGCACTTGATGGGATGAGCACTGGGTGTTATTCTGTGTGTTGGCAAATTGAACACCAATAAAAAATAAATTTATTGTTTCAAAAAATAATTATAAAGAAAAATTATTGCCAATCCTGAAATTGTTTCTAGATTCACTTGATTTTTAAAAAGATAACATCAGGGATCCCTGGGTGGCGCAGCGGTATGGTGCCTGCCTTTGGCCCAGGGCGCGATCCTGGAGACCCGGGATCGAATCCCAGGTCAGGCTCCCGGTGCATGGAGCCTGCTTCTCCCTCTGCCTGTGTCTCTGCCTCTCTCTCTCTCACTGTGTGCCTATCATAAATAAATAAAAATTTAAAAAATTTTTTTAAAAAATAAAAATAAGATAACATCAGGGTGCCTGGGTGGCTCAGCGGTTGACCATCTGCCTTCAGCACAGGGCATGATCCCAAGGTCCCAGATCGAGTCCCACATTGGGCTCCCTGCATGGAGCCTCCTTCTTCCTCTGCCTCTGTCTCTGCCTCTTCTCTCTCTGTCTCTCATGAATAAAGAAATAAATGAAATCCTTAAAAAAAAAAAAAAGATAACATCAGTCCATAGCTCTGTGGTTATATGTATTCCTAACCCCTCACAAGCCTGAAAAGTAATCGCATAGGAACACTGTCTCTGCCCTGTTTTAACGTTAGAATCATAGTAAAATATTGCTTGTTACAGACTTTATGACAGGATGCCCTAAAAGGTTGTGAGGTCTTCCTGGAGTAGCCCTGCCCCTCTCATTCCTGCCTCTCAAGGAGAATTCATTCTCCTTTTCAGAACTTCAATGTCACTTATTTTGTGTTATGATTAACTGTCTCCTCATTATATTGTAAGGGTCAGAAGCTCAGCTTAATCATCTTACTACACCCACTTGCCTAGCATAGGACCTTGAACAGGATAGCCATGAGTTGAATGCTTCTATACCTGGAGTTATTTTTTATCTTTGGAAATCTGTTTAAAAACTTTTCCATTATTTCAGACTTCTTCCCCAAGGAAATCAAGGTAAAAAGAGAAAAATTTCTCCTAAAACCATGATTTCCTACAATTTGTTGCATAGGAAAAAAAAATGTTGAAATCCTGAGGTCCGATCACACTTCATCCCCGATAATATTTTCCTTCTTTCATGTAAGTATCAATCATTAAGAGAAATAACTATTTATTACATTCAATTCATTATTCATTGCTCATAAATATTTGAATGGAATCACTCCAAATGATATTTGGTAATAAAATATGCAATTTGAAGTCTTGTTTTCTATCAGAATAGTTGATTTCAGAACTTTTCAGAGCTTCAAGTGTACTCTTGTTCTAAACTGTACAATGAACAAATCCAGGTTGACCCTCATACTGCTGAGCATTTGTTCCTTAGAATTGAAAAAGTATATTCATTTAACTTCTCTAGACTGCATGACCAGAAGGTGCTATCTGCCATTTCTTTTTATAAAAGCATAGTACTATAAAAGTATGAGTGTGCTGGTGAAAGTATAAATCAGTTCAATTTGAAATATGTAGCAAAAATCCTTTTGTTAGGTTATTCATTTATTTATTTACTTAAGTAATGTCTACATCTGATGTGGGACTCAATTCATGGCCCTGAGGTTAAGAGTCACGTACTTTTCTGACTGAGCTAGCCAGGCACCCCACAGCAAAAATTTTAATTGCATGTAGACATTTGACCTCAAAATTCTACTCTTAAACTTTATTTTATGGAAAAGTATGCACAAATTTAAATAATTGCATATGTGCAGTTTTTTTTAAAAAAATCTTAGCAGTAGTTATGATGATAGCCAAACAAATAGAAATAACCCATAAACCAGTACTAAGTTTGCTTAAGTAAAATGTGTTGTGATCATGTAATAAAATGCTATGTAGCCTTTAAATATTCTCTTGTCAATAGGTGAAATACTAAGTTTCAAGAGACAAACAAAAAGAGGAAGAAGGAAAGAAGGAAGGAAGGAAGGAAAGACCTGAAAGTCTATATACCAGAAGTTTATATTTCACTGTTTTTTTCCGGAGTGAGAGTGCAGGTGATTTTCATTTTCTTCTAGGTGTTTTTCTGCTTTTCTAAGACTCTAGACAATACTAGGCAACAGATTTTCTAAGTAAAAATGCAAAGCAACCCAGAGCACATACCCTAATGTCAACTATGGACTTTGAATGATAATGCTGTGTCATTACAGGTTCATCAGTTGTAATAAATGTACCACTCCGGTAGGGAGTGGTGATAGTGGGGGAAGCTATATATGTGTGAGAGTAGGGAGTATATGGGAAATCTCTGTACATTCCACTCAATTTTGCTGTGAACCTAAGACTGCTCTAAAAATGGAAGTTTATTAAAATAAATATAAATAAATAAATAGGGAATAAAAGGGGAGGAAGTCAAAGCATTAGTACTGGTGTTGGGTAAAGTAATAGATCCAGTAACTAATCTCCTGATTTTGTTAATCATCTCTATCCTGCTTGTCTCTTCTCTCTGAATTATATCTTCTTTAAAACATTGGAACTTTGCATAGCTATAAGTTTACCTTCTATATGGTTCTTTAAATAATTTATGAAACATTTTACTATTTAAGAGAAGTAAAAGTGTCTCAAAAAATTTTTTTTTATTTAAGGGTGCTTGCCTTTTGTTGACTTCTTTGAAAAAATCAATTTGTAAACTTTTATCACAAATTAAAAATGAGGTTCTTAAAAATCTCAACTTGACCAGATATGAAACAATTTTAAAAACCTTTAAAGGTGTATTGAGAAAAAACAGGCTTTTTTTTTAACACGTTTATCATTACCAAAAAGAGACATCTTTAGGTAAAAATAATAAAAAAAAAAACCCCATGCTGCATAGATAATGCAGATAGTTCTATTTATCTGGTCAATGGGCAAAAAGCAAGCACTTAAGGTCTTCAGCTCCAATCTTTTGTTCATTTCTTATTGCTGGAATTTCATCTTCATTTCTCCATGTCGGATGACTAAACCGGATGATGGTGGAGACGGAAAGCCGGCATTTACTCAGCCCCGCCCTGCTCAGCCTCGGCGGACCAATTCTCAGCTGGTGGATCGGCTGCTCTTGTCTCTCTCTTTTTTTTTTTTTTAATTTTTTTTAATTTATTTATGATAGTCAGAGAGAGAGAGAGAGAGAGAGAGAGAGAGAGAGGCAGAGACACAGGCAGAGGGAGAAGCAGGCTCCATGCACCGGGAGCCCGACGTGGGATTCGACCCCGGGTCTCCAGAATCGCGCCCTGGGCCAAAGGCAGGCGCCAAACCGCTGCGCCACCCAGGGATCCCGGCATTTTATAATGTATGTAATTGTCTAATCACTATGTTGTACACCTGGAACTAGTATAATTTTATGTCAACTATATTTCAGTTAAAAAGTAAAAGATTTTAAAAGAAAAACATGTTGCATGGAAAGTAATTGATAGATTTTATATACAAAATTGTTGACAGTATTTTCCTTTGGTTGGTCAGAATATGGGCTCTTTTTACCCTTTTGTTGTATTTTTGGAAAGTTTCTAGAGTAAGTAGTCATGTTATTAATAATATTTTTTGGAACTTGAAAAATGTGGCAAGTCATATGTAAAGGGAAACTGGTGCAATTGTAATAAAGAAGCCAGGAAATCAAAGAGACAGTTTTGAGACAGCTCATGGAAGAGTGGCATTTCAATATATGGACACATGTGACAGAGGTAATTCCATGCTGTGTCTAAAAAATGAAGACTCAAAAACCATATGAAAAGTCCAAGGTTGCGTAAGCCAATATGAGGCGTGATTGAGTGTATTGATAGATAATGAGTGTAGGTTATGAGTTTGAGAAGGTACATTAGGACCATGTTATCCAGCAGGATATCTTAAATCATGTAAAGTTTGCTGAATATACATGCCTAGGTCACTTCCCAGAATTTGGTTTACAGGGCCTCTAACAGTTAATTTAGTTAATACTGTTAAATAGGAACTCCTTGCCCCATTGTAGTGTATTACACACTACAAAAAAATCTGGAAGGAAAGAAGTATACTTTTTGTAATGTGGGTTGCAAATTGAAGTCCAGAGTTCAGTTTTTCGTAATAGCATTAGCATTAACTAGGAGAACAATAAAGAATCTGGGTGTTTGGGACGCCTGGGTGGCTCAGCAGTTGAGCCTCTGTCTTCAGCTCAGGACATGATCCCAGAGTTCTGGGATTGAGTCCTGCATCGGGCTTCTGCATGGAGCCTGCTACTCCCTCTGCCTGTGTCTCTGCCTCTTTCTGTGTCTCTCATGAATAAATAGTAAAAAATGTTAAAAAAAAAAAAGATTCTGAGTGTTTTAAGGTACAAGTGACATTATCTTCTCTGCTTGAACATCAGCTTTCTCCATAGAGCCTTCCTCAGAGCCCCCAACACCTCCTTGTTCCTCAGGCTGTAGATGAGGGGGTTAAGCATGGGAATAATGATTACATCAAACACAAAGAGATGCTGGTCCATCTCTGAGGGGAGAGTGGAACCTGGAGTCATGCAGATAATCATGGCTGGACCAAAGTAGAGACTTACCACACAAAGATGGGAGGAACAGGTAGCTAGAGCTTTGTTTTGTCCCTCAGGAGAGTTCCTGTGGAGAACAGTAAGGTAGATGAATATGTAGGATGTCAGAATGAGTCCAAAAGGGATGAGAAGGAAAGCAATGCTGGACAGTAACACCACTTTCTCATAGATGGAGGTGTCCTCACAAGAGAGCTTCAGAAGGGCCATTATCTCACAGAAGAAATGGTCAATTTTCCTGGAGCCGCAAGTAAAAAAGTGCATGGCATAAATTGTGTGCATTAAGGAGATAAGCACACGCCCAGCCCATGAGCCAGTGGCCATTTGCATACAGACTCGGGGAGTCATGATTATGGGATATCTGAGGGGGTTACAAATGACCAAATAGCGGTCAAAGGCCATGAGAGTGAGAAGAATGCACTCAGCCACTCCTCGCATCAAGTACAGAAAAATTTGGACTCCACAGCCAATATGAGAGATAAATTCATGTCCAGAGAAGAAGTTAGTGGCCATCTTGGGGACAGTGGTGGAAATTAACATTAGATCCATGAGGGAGAGCTGGCTGAGCAGGAAGTACATGGGCATGTGGAGGCAAGCATCACTCCAGATCAGCAGGACCAGGATGGAATTTCCTGTGACTGCCACCCCAAAAATCAGACGGACAATAGAGATGAGGAACCTAGGATGCTGGGAGTCAGAGAAAAAGCTAAGGAGAATGAAATCTGTGGTGGAGGATTCATTTCCTTGCTCCATGCCTTAGTCTACTGGCTTGATCTAGAGGACCATGGAAGAAAAACACACACACTGTTATTGCTCTTCCCATATAAATGCACTACTGATTTGAATCTATTCTGGAAAGTTGAATAATTGCTGAGCAAATCCAGGGGGGCCTGGGTGGCTCAGTGGTTGAACATCTGCATTGGGTCAGGTCATGATCCCAGAGGGGCAGCAGGCACAGGAAGAGGCCTTCCCAAGGCAGCAGGGCCAAGCCCATGGCCCCGTGTGTGCCACCCTACGGCGACACAGTGCACAGGTGTTTCGGGAACCTGAGCTCCCGCATCAGTGGATTTGAGTGATGGGGCATCACCGCATGAGAGCATTGGGGTCATGCAGGTACCTTAGAGTATGCTCAGGGCCAACGCCAGTGCTTCTTGGGCATAGAGGACGCTGCTCGACAGAGACCCAGAGAGCTCATGGATGGCGATGGATGCTGATGGATGCTGATGGATGGTGATGGATGACGATGGATGCTGATGGATGCTGATGGATGGTGATGGATGACGATGGATGATGATGGATGACGATGGATGATGATGGATGGCGATGGATTGTGATGGATGATGATGTATGATGATGGATGGTGATGGATGGTGATGGATGATGATGGATGGTGATGGATGGAGATTGATGGTGATCGATGGTGATCAATGGACAGGTACCTGATAGACTAAAAGATGGGTGGGCAGATTATGGAAGGATAGACAGCTACCATGCCCGTTTCCCCTGAGAGAACCTCGCCTGCCTTCCTCTCCAGGTGTTTCTGGGGCCCTGGTACATGGGATGCGCGGTGTGTCTGTGATAACCCTCGGACTCCCCTGCCATCATCCCCCTCAGGTCGCCATTTCTTCCTTTTTTCTATCATTGGGTTCTGTCCTTGTTCTGCTCCACGTGTCACTCACTCACCCTGTGTCCAAGTGCGGAAGCTGTGCCTGCACCTGGGAGCAGACGTTACCAGTGCAGGGCGCTGTCAGCGAGTGCGCAGGATGTCCCGCGGGGCCAGGAGGAGGCGCAGGTTCGCAGCTTGTAGGTAAGGGAGCTCCTGCTGCCAGACAGTGGCAACGCCCTGCAGGGGCATATCCTGCCGGGCTGCACTCCCAGGACAGGGACACACATGTCCCCGAGACATCACTCTGACTGACCTGAGCTCAGGATGAGGCCCGGGTGGGACAGCAGTGTCATGTGGCTGCAGGTGAGCAACGGGATCTCATCACACAGTGAAGTCTTCTGGCTCTGACGCGCCACGGCCCAGCAGCACACCTTGCACACACTTCACACCTCACACCCAACACACACACCTCACACCCAACACACACACCTCATACTGCACACCCAACACAACACTTCACACACCTCACACAAAAAAACACACCCACCTCACAAACACCTCACACCCAACACACCCACCTCACAAACACCTCACACCCAACACACACACCTCACAAACACATCACTGTCCCCTTGTGACCTCATCACTCCCACACCAGCTTCCTGAGCCTGATGGCAAATTGATCACAAACTGAGGAGGACAAGCTGAGGTGTGTGTTCTCCTTGGTCCCACAGCCAGGCAGCCAGTCTGACCATGTTTAAGGCATGATGGACACCGGGCTTGTGAGCTCGGTCCTGGACACGGAGAGTCGCAGGGGGGTGACCCCCAAACAAGACAGGTAAAGAGTGGCTGTCATCGCAGGAGTCGTCAAGGGCAGAAAGCAGGCGCTCAGGCGCAGGGAGAGCAGCAGGAGGTGCCCAGTGTGGCCCGTGGGCCTGGGCCAGCTTCTCCCAGGGGCTGACGAGGGTCAGAGGGGCCCCGGCTCGGGAGGCCTGACCGTGGCCGAGGGGCCGGTGCGTGGGCTCGAGGGAAGGCCGTGGGCTGGGAGTGCACGGAGCGGGCCCCCAACAGCCCGGGAGCTCCCGAGGGTTTCTGGTCGGGACCCCACTTGCCACGTGGGGAGACTGCCCCAAGTCTCGGGCTGCACCCGCGCCGGCTTTTATCCAACACCAAGCATGCGTCCTCCGCGCTGACACTCTTGGGCTCTGCTGGCGCAGGGCGCAGACGCCGCAGGGACCGCTGTCCTGCTGCCCCGGGCCGGGCCTGGATGCGCTCGGCTCAGCTCTGGGCTGCGGGCGCCGCCACCAGCGCGGGCTCAGCGGCCCTCCCCAGGGACCAGGGCCGCAGGCTCCCCGCACCTGTCTCCCCGGCCTCTCCTCCCGGGCCCCCTCCCTGCTGCTGTCTGCCATGTGCCCCGTCCAGCACGCCCCGTGCAGCAGGCGGGGGCGGGCTCCCTCGCCTCCCCTCCCCTCCCAGCCCCTCCCGACTCCCTCCTGCGGGGTGCTGCAGCCTGGGCGCCTTGTGCCCCACTCCGCCTCCTGGGCTCGCTGAGCACCAGCTGCCTCGCGCTCACCTCGCTGACCTGTCTGCGTGTAAGATCTTGCCCCACTCCACCTGCAGTGGTGCTCCCTCGTCCCCTTCCCTCCATCCCCCTGCTACCTTCCTTCCCTCCCCCCAGCCCCTGTTGCCCCCCATCCCTTCCCCCCACCCCCTGCTGCCCTCCATCCCCTTCCCCCCACCCCCTGCTGCCCTCCATCCCCTTCCCCCCACCCCCTGCTGCCCTCCATCCCCTTCCCCCCACCCCCTGCTGCCCTCCATCCCCTTCCCCCCACCCCCTGCTGCCCTCCATCCCCTTCCCCACCCACTCCTTCCTTCTTCTTATCTCCCCAGCCTGTGGCTGCTGACTCTTCCAGCAGGACATGTCACTGCCCTTCACATTCTGTCAACTGCAGATGCTTTTCTGGTTAGGACATGTCCTCACATATTGAAGTCATATCTTACACGCGGGCCTCCTCCCTGCTGCTTGATGGGTTCTGGCAGCCCCATTAAGAGGACCTTTTCCAAGCCCAGCTAGCAACAGTCTCATGGGAATGTAATACATTTCTGTTTCCAAGAAGGCTGAGAACACAGACCCCCTCAGTCGGAGGGCCTCTATTTTCTGCATCTGCTGTGGAAGCACTGAGTGATGGAGGAGAGATGTTAGGGTTCAAAGCCCGGGGCCAAGAAAGAATTCTTGAGATGTCTTTAGTGCAAAAAGGTGGTTTTATTAAAGGACAGAGATGGGGACGGGACCTGTGGGGTTGTGAAGGGTGGCCGAGTATATACTCTCAAGTTGGGAGGGGGTCAGGGAGAGCGGGAGTCTCTGAGGAATTTGGAAGCCAAGTTTCCAGGACCCTAAGGGACCACCTACTGTTGGGAAAAGGTCATTGATTACCGTCTAATAAAACCTGCGTCCTGGGATCCCTGGGTGGCGCAGCAGTTTGGCGCCTGCCTTTGGCCCAGGGCGCGATCCTGGAGACCCGGGATCGAATCCCACGTCAGGCTCCCGGTGTGTGGAGCCTGCTTCTGCCTCTGCCTCTCTCTCTTTCTCTCTCTGTGACTATCATAAATAAATAAAAATTAAAAAAAATAAAAAAAAAACCTGTGTCCTGAGCCCCTTCAGATGGACATGGGTGGGCCATGTGCTTGGGGGTGATGCCAACACATATCTCGGGGGCTTTAGAGATGCAGGAAGTTTCTAAAGGAACTGTTATATGTTAGAGGAGACTCACGGGGTCCTGGGGTTGGCCCAAGGTTGTCTTTGTCCTCAGCAGGGTGTCCACATGGAGGCAGCTGAGTCCAGAGAGGAAGATCCCTCTGCCTGGTTTGAGGACGTGTCCGTGGGCTGCAGCGAGCAAGGAAATCTAAGTTATAATCTGCCTTCCTTTCCCACGTCACTGTGTGTGGAGGAGAGAACACAGTTGGGTCTTGTTTGGTTTCTCCTCCTGGGAGCATGTTTGTGGGGTGGTGGCAGGGTGCCTGTCCCACCCACTCCAAATACCCTCAGTGATTTAGTGAAATCACCCTACTAGAAATGGTACTGATCATACAAAAAAGAGGCATCTACAACTGAAATCCACCCTGACACGAGCAGCTGTAGGCTATGCCTTCATCCGCTCTGATGTGCGATGTTTGGAGTCGGCCTGCACAAAGTAAAGACTAGAGCATTTCAGGAGCGCAGGCCCTGGCATGGGTCGCCCCAGAGCATGCCAGTGATCAAGCCAGACAGCCAGTCCCACAGCAGGCACTTAACAAACCCCTTAGGGGGATCCCTGGGTGGCTCAGCGGTTTGGCGCCTGCCTTTGGCCCAGGGCGTGATCGTGGAGTCCCGGGATGGAGTCCCGTGTCGGGCTCCCAGCATGGAGTCTGCTTCTCCCTCCTCCTGTGTCTCTGCCTCTCTCTCTCTATGTCTATCATAAATAAATCTTAAAAAAAACAAAACAAAAAAAAAAAACCTTAGGTCTTGTTTTGGAAAGGTTTTCTCTTTTTGGTATATTTTCCCATAATGCTGCGAAGAAAATATGACGGGACTTGTTTAAAGCATAAGATCTATGATCTGTGGGGAAATCTAAAACTCATTTTAATTAATTGAGGTTAAAAGTTCTGTTCTGAAAATGTTATTTATTCGCATTAGAAAGTATGTGCTCTGGAGACATAAAAATGTTGAAGACATAAGAAAATAAAAAATAAAAAATGTTGCACAGTGTACTGTGTCATTTGAGTCCTAAGAGAGGCGACTGGGATTTTTTTCTGGTGGGAGAACGGGTTTCCCAAACTGGGGTCCTGTCAGCGTTTCAGGGAGCTCCACCCCAGAGGATGTATTTAATTTCAGATCAAGAACACATCAGACAGGACAGCAATAGTTTTTCAAAATATGCCTTCATTCTCAATCAACAGGATGACTGCTCTATTGATCCGCCTGAAGAGGGGATGAGAGCTGCTTCTGACAATACCCAAACCCCACGTCGCCCATCACACATCACAGAGTGGAGCATCTCAATGTCGTGGCAAAGGTGCAAAAGCAAATGCAGAGGTGAACTTCAAGACAGGGCCAATCCCCACTGCCCAAAATGAGGAGACAGTGCAAAGCAGAAGGGATGCTGGGCCT